GGATAGGTAGGTAAGTCGGTCGGTAGGAAGGTAGGTAGGTAAAGGGGGGCAATGTGTAGCCTGCATAATTACATGGTAAACTACTCAGAGAGTGAAGTATGTACTGTGGGGCAGTATATAAACAGCACACTTTGTTCTTTTTTTGTTTTAAACAACTAACATTGCAAGTTTATTCTCTTGCCTTCTTCTTCTTTTTTCATTTCCCTCATCTATTGCTTGTCCGTACGATGCCTCTGGCCTTTCCCTTCCCTGCCTCCCCCCTTTCCTCTCTCTCTGTCTCTCATTCTGCCACAGAAGAATATTGATTCCAAGGCCTTGTAATCCATTGTTTCTGTGAAATTTTGGCTTTGAACCGTCCCGGGTGGGAGCCGATGGAATCTGCATGGATTAGCCGCTTATTCATATAACAGCATTCATCAGAAAGCTGGTGGAGGAAGAGAAGGGAGTGGAAGAAATTGGGGAAGAAGGGTGTCGTTGTTGCCGGAACACAGTTCCAGTAATGAGAAACCGTGTCAGGTTGGTTAGGAAAGGGCGAGAGCTGCCGTCTTCACAATGCCACTCATTTTTTGAAGTGTCCCAATTTCCAAGAAATGGTCGCAATTTTCTTGTCGCTGTCCCTGGTAAAATAATTTCCCAGGCCTGGCCTTTGGAAAAATGGTGTGAATGTTCTTTTTGAAAAGAACACCCTAGAAATTTCTGTAGGCACAGACCTTGTTTCACTGCAGTGTAAGAAATAATCCTTGCTATATTTCTTTCCTTAGCACAGCTGCTGGCTCGTCTCATGTAGCGGTTTCTAAACGTGGGAAACCCCCCCCCCCCGGGGTGTTCTTGGACTACCACTCCCAGAAATCCTGGCCAGCCCAGCTAGCAGCAAAGGCTTCTGGGAGTCTTTGTCCAAGAACATTTAATGGACCCAAGGTTGGGAACCATGCTTTACACCATGAGACGACATCCTTGAGTTGGTTCAGATGACCCTCTAAACCATGGCCTGGTGTATCATCTAGAAACCAACCATGGTCTGGATTGTCACCTGATTAAAAGAAACCATGGTCTAGAGCTGTGGTTCCCAACCTTGAGTCCTCAGATATTCTTGAACTACAGCGCCCAGAAATCCTGGCCAGCATAGCTTAGAGGTGAAGGCTCCTGGGGTTTTCAGTCCAAGAACATCTGGGGTACTCAGATTTACGGCCCCACTTCTCCAACCCCAAAATGGCTTTCCCTAAAGAAAAATGAATGAATGAAAAACAAAGTGCCTTTCTTGGAAACCCCAATGATTCACCTTTTAAATGGGTCACTGGAGGCTCCCCTGGAGCATTTCATGGCTATTTTTCCGGATCTAAAAGTGGTCCTCCACCCACTTCCGGAGGTTTGCTTTCCAGCATCTTTGGTGGCTGATCTTCGGGGAAGCTCTGGGCCCTGAATACCAGGCACCCCGGGATGTGTGTGTATGACCCACATTGCCTTTAATGGCGCGGAGCCACCTGGGCAAACACTGGGTGGGGGCACAAAGAAAAAGGGGGCCATTTCGGTCGGCTTCGGCGGGTGATGACTCAGTGCCTCGGCAGTTAGCAGAGCAAGGAGAGATCACTTTAGCTTTCCTTTCTGTCAATCTCGTGGGAAAGCCAAACAGGGAGAGAGGATGATTTCTGAAAGGTGAAAAGGACATGATTTAGACAGCTTTCCGAGGGACTTTGCAGGAGAGCGGTTCGTGGTGGCAAGGATAGGGAAAGAAAGTACCATTTTGCCTCTTTTTTTCTCTCTATCACAGGAAAGAGAGCTGGTGAACCAGCCGTTAAAAGGACCCCATTATCGGACTGGTCAGAAACCTCCCCAGGGCAGTGCATTTCATCCGAACCCCCTTCCCCTCTCTCCGTCTCTGGCTGCTATCATGCCGTGTGCCTCCCACTCCACCGGATCTGCCCTTCTGAGGAGAGAGTCGTATGCCATCTATTGTTAATGACAGCAAATGGGCCTTTACTCCGAAAGACACAGGAATAGTTTTAAGGTTTTTCTCTTCTTGGGGGGGGGGGGAAATAAAAGAGGAGACCACAGCCCTTTCTCTGTTTGCGCATGGAACACAAGTCCCTAAGCGACGGATGGGCGGCAGGCCGAAAAGAAACACAGGCAACAGAAGTGCAATTGAAAAGGTTTCCCTTTATATATATATATAAAAACATCACACCTCCCATAATTCCCCTGGGAAAAAATGATGGAGGAATATTTGGACTCCTGCTATGCACACAGTTCTCCAAGCCTGTTCTTTTCTGCATGCACTTTTGGCTAATAACGTCCATTTTTTTTTTTTTTGCAAGCAGCTTCCCCATAGGACAAAGAAGCATCCTAGCCAGCCCTGGGCCAGCTTCCTTTCCAAACCGGAAGTTAGGCCCATGCAAGGCAGGAAGCCGGCCAGCTGGTCCTTCTCTCCAGGCGAGCACAACTTCAGATCTGTAAGGTCTGGTTTTTTGACAGGTGGGATTCCCAGACAGGAGAATTGTGGGAGCTGCAGTCCAAAGAAGATCCAAAAGGCACATCCCTGACTGACTGCATGACATCAGTGTGAAAACATAATAGGATTCCATCCATGGTGTTTTGAAATATTTAGATTTTGAACAGATTCAAATTGTTTTCGTTCCTTTGGTACGATTTTATTGAGTGCATCTGAGAGCTCTTGGCATTGCACAGCTTAGACATATTTTAACACGTTGATAAAACCACAAGGCTGTATATTGGCTAAATCCTGTCCCCTTCCTCTCTCCTCAGGATAACTCCCACTGTGGGTGTCCACTCACCGTTCTGAAGCCACCATTCTGACCTGAGGGAGATGGGTGAGTCATTCAATTTTGCTTTCTCTCCTAGTTCAACATTTCAAACCATTTTTTTTCTTGAATGCAGTCAGGGTGGTATAGTGGATACAGTGACAGACTATGACTCAGGAGTCCTGGATTCAGTTCCTCCCTCGGTCATGGAAACTCCTCGGGAGGTTGGTCGTGGTAACTGCTCTTTGAACGTCTCCCATAACTCAAAAGCTGGGTTATGGGCTGCCCTAAGTCAGAAAGGAGTGGGTGGCATGTCAGAACAAGGTTTGGTAAAAGTCTGACCTGCTATAAATCTAAGCTTAATTGTAGATGTTTGTGTATGAGGAAATCTACACAGGTGACCGCCACCGCCATGGTGTACGAACCTTGTGGGAGATTCTCGGCTGCTTTTGCCAGGGTCGGTGTTAGTGCTGGCAATAAAAGTAGTTAGCAGCCCCAATGCAAATTAGATTTTAAAAAAAGCAACAACAAAGAGGAGCGAGTCTGTTGTAGAAGATTAATTCTGCAGCTTAATTGAAAATGCAAGAGCAGAACAGGGAGGCGAAGAGGGAGGGGGGGAAAAACACTAAATAAATCTGAGTGAGAGGGGCCAGCTTCTAATAAACTTTCTCGCTTTGGGCTTCTGCACTCAGCAAACATTTCGCCCACAAATGGGGAACGGAGGGAGAGGATGGTGGGTTATAAATGTTGCTTTTGGGGTATTGTTGTTCTTGCGCTTGTTGATATATCTGTCACGCCTTCCAGAAGAGTGGGTGGCTCGTTATCCTTGGAGGGCATGCGTTCATGGAGAGTCGTCCAGCAAGCCAACAATCAACAAAGGGACACACTCCGGGATTTCCCCAGCTGGCTGCAAGGTAGGGGATTCCCCCTCACCACAATCAATGTGCAATAAATTTGCAAGTTTTAATACCCCAGAGCCCTTCAACAATAATCCCATTAAACAATAATCCTTTCAGAAATGCCTTGCGTCCATAGGTGTGGATTAGACTTTCCTTGCATGCAGGCTGTGGGGACTCTCAGAGGCAGAGTCCACCAATGTGTTGGCCTCCTCCTTCAAGTGCAGCATCCTGAACTGAACACAGGACCCCCGATGAGGCCTAACCAGTGCTGATTCGAGGGGTCATTGATAAAGTCTCTTTCTTTCTCTCTTGCAATGAATGTTAGTTTATTTTTTTGGGGGGTGCTGCTGAAGGAAGCTCTTCTTGCTAAAGCCAGCTGCCGCCAGTCTAGATTTGCTGGAGCTTATTTTCGGGTTTTGGATTCCTGGAGGCAACACACTGTATTAGCTTTCATAATTTTGAAGGAAGCACTTGGTGAGGAACGTCTCCCTTGGCTGAAACTGTGGATTTCCTTTGTTTCTTTGCCTTCTGGATGTGTGCCCTTCCTTTTGAAATATCTTCTGATACGGTGGTTTACGGAAGTTTTAAAGGGGACCTGCCACAAAAGTTCCGAGGCAGCCATCCCTTCTGTAGAATATTCCATTTCACCTCTTTCCTGCAGCTCAGGGAAGTTCTGTGCTTTGGACTACCAACCCCAGAATCCCCTAGCAGCCACCATGGCCACTGGATTCTGGAGCGGTGGTAGCATGAAACAAAACGTAGCTTACCTTTCCCCCCTTTTTCTCCCATGTCCAGATTCCTCTGTTTACTCCAAAGGAAAAATATTTGTATTGTCCCTTACCCGTGACCGTTTCGGCTGCCTTGACTTAAGAAGGAAAGTTCTCGATGATGAGTTTGCAAGCAGGGCCATGTGGCTCAAGGCAGAAAACCTGGACAGCTCGGTTTTGCTCAGTTGATTTGCACAAGCCAATGGGTTTTTTGACAAGTAACTTAATCTCTACCATTGCTATTCAAAAGAAGCTAGAACAAAGAGCTCAGTGTAAGACTACGGTGGCAAATAGGTGGTGTTTTAGATCACTATATTTTTTCAGTTGTGCAAAATATAATTTGTGTAAAGCTCCTTTTCTTTCTGCACAAAAGTAGCTCCTCTTCCCATTGTGAAGCTAAGCAATAGGCAAGGGCTTTGTCACAGAAGGTTTTGGAATAACTCCTAAATATGCAAGTCTACGATGAGCACACAGGGTGAGCCACATGACAGGCTGACTGATTGCTAGGATATGAGCAACCCATCCAAAGCGACTGCGTTTATGGCTTCATGTCCAAAGACCCCGATTGCATTTTCCAGCGCTGTGCAAACTCACCTCAAGGAGAAAAAAATTTGGAGGCTTTCTCCTTTCCTGTGCAATAACTGAAGAAGTCAGGAGGTGAGAGATGCTCTCTCGTCGCCTGCGTTGGAGTAAAATGAAGTGACCCGCTTGTCTGACTTCTGGGTATCATCCGTGTGCTTCTAGCAGATATGTCGGTTCCTAAAATGTTTCAGCTCCTGTGTAACAGCTTCCAGCTCTCCGTATCTGGGGACAGGACGAAGATTTTGAAATAAATGCCTGGAGACAAAACATATCGTCTGTTGCAATAAATAAAAACCCTAAAGGGATCTGCCACTGTTGTGCGTACCATACATCATATAAATCAATGATAGTCCTTCAGCTCTTATAATGGGAACACCATCCGTTCGGCATTGTGGTTTGTCCTATTACTTTTCTGAGCTGTCATCGCAAACCGTTTCCCTGCATCCTTCTCCTGAAAGCCAGTTACGAGAGAGTCTCCTTGGATCTAGCAAAGACGATGTGTCAACATTCCATCAGCGCTTCTGTTAAAACCTGTGTTCGCCTTATTGGAAACACCGGAGCGGAGTTTATCTTTTGGAAATCCTCTGGGGCGTTTCATCAAACTGTCATCAAATCTTTCATCCGTTGGCTCAGGTTTTCGAAAGAAATCTGCAATTAAAGGTTGCCTACACGCATGCCGGCCACGGCCAGCTCCCAGATCAGCTGGGCACAGCCCAAGCATTACATTCCTACCCCTAATATTCTGGTTTTTTCCTTTTCGTGCAACAGTGCTGGCACAGCCCAAGCATTACATTCCTACCCCCAATATTCTGTTTGTTTTTTTTTTCCTTTTCGTGCAACAGTGCTGGATGCCGCACTTGAAGAAGGATGCCAACAAACTGGAGCAAGTTGAGAGGAAAGCAACAAGGAGGATCAGGGGGACTGGAAACCAAACCCATATGAGGAAATGCTGGAAGAACCGGGCATGTTTAGCCTTGAGAAAAGAAGACAGACGGGAGGTCAAACTGGATAGGGAGTCCTAAAGAGGAGGGGCAGGATCTGTTCTCGAGCATCCCAGAGTGCAGGACACGTAAGAAGGAGCTCGAGCTATAGGAAGCCAGTTTTAGGCTTGAATATCAGGAAAAATGTCTTAACTGTTAGAGCAGTACGACAACGGGACCCATAACCTCAGGAGGTGGTAAAGCGCTTCAACGCTGGAGGCCCTCAAGAGAACATTGGACAGCCCTCTGTCCGATATGGTCTGAATCTTGGAAATCAACATTCCATAAATTGTGCTTAAGCGTTCTTCATTTCCATTGAGCTGCTTAAGTGTTTCCTTCATTTCGTTTGCAAGGAGAGCTGCCCCTGTGTTTAGAAATGCGGTGTGTGCGTTTTTCCTGCCAATCTTGGGCGTTCTCCATCGCATGCTGATAACCTCCCTCTTGTCCTCAACAGCTGCATTTCAGCTGCTGGCTCACCGTGTCTCTCTTTCTTATTAAAGGAAGTTAAGTGGCACCTACAGTATCTGTCGCATGATGATGTCTAAGCAAGCTAAGAGTTGTGTACTTCGTGGTGCCTCCCTTGTTCATTGCTCAGCCTCCTCTTTTCCTGACTCAGCTGCTGGGAGCAACACACATACACAGCTACCTCCCGCCTCCCTCCATTGCCTGGCGTTCCCTTCACAGCTGACCAGAGTCACTTCCATGTTTCTGTTGGAAAAGTGTGCTACAGATGAAGATCCAGAGCCCTCCTCGTGTGATGGACCTTAGGAAGTGCTCAGACCAAACTCTTCATGTCAAGAAACACTCAGCAACTGCAGAAGAACCCCAGTGAGTAAAGGACTCCTTAGAAGGAGAGCCTGTTCTGGAAAACTTGTACATAGACCACAAGTCAAACTATGTTTGGATTCTGGTACCGGGTGGCATTGCTCTCATCAAGTTACAAATGGACTGTCGTGCAATTATACCTTTGCTATTGGAAAAGGAAAATGGAAGAGATGAGAAAATCTCATGTGTAACACGTTATTTCCAAGATTGCTTCTGCTTCCCCTTTCTGTGGACCTGTGGGGGGGGGGGACACAAAGATGGAGGGGGGCCTGGATTTGCCACATGGGAGGAGTTCCCCCATCCATGCACGATCTCTCCGGAATTCCAGTCGTTAGCATTTACGGCATAATAAGGCTTCACAGATATGGTGTTTCAGTGCATCCAAAGCCTTTTGCATATATTACATTTTAGAGGAATAATATTATTCCCGATTAGGGTTGCTGCAAACACACACCTTTGCATCCCTTTTGAGAATCCGCGTCATCGGTTGACTCTCTCACCTTTCATTCTACCCAGATAAAAGCTTCTTTCCTTTTACGAAGCAAAAGACTATCTGTCAATAGTTTTGTCTAGGATAAAAAAATATATATCTTGTAGTGTACGCAGACAGGACAGTTCCCCCCCAATTTTCCCTGCTGTGACCAACTTTAGAAACCCCCACGACGAAAAAGAATGCAGGACACAACAGAAGTCTCCATCTTGTGTCTCACGTGGCGCACCCCCTCTCCAACCCACCAAAGGCCTTTAGTTCAACGTCAGGAAAATCAGGGTGGGATCCGTTTTCCACCCACTCCAACCCCCCCCCCGGACTCTCTGGCAGTGCGACTGATTTTGCAGAGGCAATAAATGCAGTCTAGGTTTTTTTTAAAGTCCAAGCTTTTAAATGGAGCTCTCCAAGGTACTGGTTTGATTTGGGGGATAGGGTTAGGCATTTTTTTGGTGGCAAGTGGAGGGGTCAATGTGTAGCCTGCATAATTAACTTGTAAACCGCCCGGAGAGTGGTTGAAGCACGGTGGGGCGGTATATCAGCAGCACGCTATGCTTTGGCTTTACTTTCCGCACGTCGAAAGCAGGTGAGGATCTGACGGTCCCCTCGAACCAAGGAAATCCGCAAAAGAAAGGATTGCCTATACCCTTGGCTGTTAATAAATTGCAAAGCTTTGGGGGAAGAAGCGGGATTAACGGCGCTCAGCGAGGCCTGCCTCCCAGCACTTTTTCATAAACATATATTTTTAAACGCCCTTGAAGAAGTAAAATAGCAGGAGGATCAAGAGTGACATCGGAGCCCAGCCCGAATGTTTGGAGAGCACTCTGGCAAAGCCGAGCCAGTTGCAGATGAATATTGCTGTTATAATTGCAGTCTTGGCACGCAGCTTCAGAGCTGTGTCTTTTTGTTTGGGCCTCTGAATGGGTTTCTTCTCAAAAATGGAAGCGGGGGAGGGAGAGAGAGAGAGGGGGGTCTCATTGATTTATTTTATTTTTTTGCTAAATAAGATCAGTAATTGGAATATTTCTCTTTTTCCCCCCTTTCTTTGATATTTGTCAGTTTGAAAACAAAATTCGGCAGATCGATGGACATTCCATTTTATTTCAGCTTGAATGGTACTGAAAAAAGGCTTCCCCCCACCACACACACCTTACTGTTTAAAAACAAGCCATGCCATGCTGACAATAAAATGCCCATTACTTTCATGGTTAAAAATACCATGAATCCACAGACAACACTCTCACACCTTTCTGATATTTGTGAGGAGATAACTTTTGTGAGAAGAACCAACAACCCTGGAGGGGAGTAAGGACATAGATCCAGATATATCTGGCTTTTTTTGGGGGGGGGTGCTTTATTGTGGTTTGTATCAAATGTACCATAAAACTTTCAAAATGAGGTTTCAGATGGAAGGAGAGGCAGAAATACCTTGTGGGCTTGCCTTTTTACAGTAACTTTTTATTGTGAGTGCATTAAACCTCACAAACATCACTAAAGTAACATTTTACTTTCCAGCTGACAGAAATAGTGGTTGTTTTCTTGAAGACACCAAGGAAAGTCAGCCTTTTAGGAGAAATCGGTGGCCATGTGGTGGTGGCACGTAGGGAGCTGCTGACCACTATTCATTCATTCATTCATTCATTCATTCATTCATTCATTCATTCATTCATTCATTCATTCATTCATTCATTCTATTTTTATTCTGCCCATGCGACCCATGGTCCCTACTTCCCCATTCTAACTGAGACGAGAAAGACTCTAGAACAAGGATGGGTTAAAAAAATGCAAAACAGGATTGATCTGTGACTCAAAGAGCATTAATCATTGGGAAAGTTATTTTGGTGGACTTCACCTCTGAGAGTTCCCACAGCCTGCATGCAAGGAAAGCAGACGGCTCTCATGGCAGTGGAAAGTAGGGTTCAGCAGCTTGAAAAAGCCCTTTAAATTTTTGAATAAAACCTGGAGCCAGCTCAGCACCTCGCTGACCTCTGTCTGCACGACCCCATAGCTGCCGGCTAAGGAATCCTACGGGTCTAAATAAGTACCTTTTGCATGTTTGGGGTAAGAAAACCTGGCTTTGGGCCATGCAAGACAAACTCACCAAGCTTTCCAGAAAAGCCTGCAAGCGAAGCTCGGGAAAGATGCTCCCTAAAAAACTTTCCAGAATTCCTCAGTCAGGATGGTGCAGAGGCGGGTGACTCTCCAGCTTCATGGGGCGGTGAATCCGTTCAGGGTTTTAGTCTGAACTTTATAGGAGCTACCCAAGTTGCTGAATACTATCCCTTCAAATAGGTTCAACCCCACCCCATGAAGTCAGAGTGACGTCTCTCTGTCACCAGGACAGCTTCTGACCAGTCATATTTTCTCAGCCCAATGAACCTCACGAGGCTGCTGTAAAGCAGGAGAACTGTATAAACCACTTTCAAGTTTGCTAAAGGGAAGATGGAATATAATGTAAATGATGATCATGAAGGCTAATTACGACGGAGATGTGGCCCTCCCCCTAATAAGGAGGAGACTTGCACCCACCCCACTGTCTCTCTGTACGAGCTGCCACATTTTAAAATACCTATAATCATTCATAATAATGATTACGAAGTTATTCCTCTTATTATCCAGCACCCAGCAAAGGAATATTTAAAGCCAGAAGCCAATTAACACAACATGACTTAGCATTTCTATGGAACCTCGTTTTTTAAGAATTTCCAAAGCCTTTTGCAAACATTACTGGAGTAAAACTAACAGCATCTACAGGGATGCGTTATTATTCTATTATAATACTAATTCTGGAGGAAGGCACAATGAGATTCTGGGAAGACGAAGCGAACCTAATTCTTCTAATGAAAGGGTCTTTTATCTGTTCTTCCCCCACCTATTCCCTCTTAGCCACGGCAAAGCATCTTGCCGCTTTTCATTACGAATTTTTTTTATTCAAGATTCGTCCAGGAAGCTTTTAATGTGCAAAGTGTTTTACATGCATTGTCTTGCTCATCTCCCCGGCCAGCCCTGTGAAGTGTGATCGTTGCTCGCCTTTATGACAACTCCCCCTTTTTTTCCTGTGGAGTGGCAGAATCAAAGCAGCAAGAAGCATCCATCTCCAAGAAATTGGCCCGAGAGAGCTACCACGGAGAAATTAAAGCAGCCCCAGCAACCAAATGTCAAATCAACTCATCATTTTCAAGCTGAAAGATATCGATAGATAGATATCGAATACTCTGCACTTGGTGGAAACCCTTCCCTCTTTTCAAACCACAAAAACCAAATCCTGAGGATGGTTTTGCTGAATTCTTTGAAAACTTACCTGAAGGCGTGGTTTGACTGGAAATGAATCGAAAGCTACATCAAGGTTTCTGAAGTCGGTGTAAAGTTATGTGGTTTTTTTGGGTATGTGCATCCTCTTGGGACATGGTTGATGGGGCTATATGGGCTTTTTAAAAAAAATTAAATTTGCTGCCCCAGCTTTCTGTGTTTTACCCTCCTGAGGCGATGCATTTCCTAAAGTGAAATGTCTGCACCAAAAACTGAAATGAAATCCTGTACCACCGTAGCTACATAAAAATGCTCTGGTTGGTGGCACATCGTACTGGAACTGCCTTTGAAGTCGCCCACCTGCCACCAGGCCAGCTGCCTCTCCCAGCCACTTGTCACTACCGCCACTAAGAACTCATTTAGTGCTTTGAGTTGACATGGGTAGCAGGGACAAAGGCGATGTTCTTCTGCAGTGGTGTTTTTTTACCCTTTTCCCCCAAACTGGCATAGCGCTAGATCAGTGTTACAGATGGGGGAAAAAAACTAACAGATCAGACTGCAAGGTTAGCCTGCAGCCCTCAACCTGTCCTTTTGGCATCCAACACTTGACACATCCCACAGACACATTTTACTCCAGCACAGGGGAGCATACATGCAGAAATGATTCAAAATAAACCACATCATTCATAATTGAGTTAAAATGAACAAGACCCTGGCAGGCGCTTGAAAATCCCTCAGTTTCTGAATAAGAGAAACCCACACACTTCCTGGGCAATTTTTGTTTTTTAAAAAAAGCATGCTTTGCTGTAAATGGATATTTTAAAATCAATTTCAAATGTGCTGATCGCAACACAAACCTAAGGAGTATTTTGACATGTAACCGCACCCTGAATTCCTTCAGCAAAAGAGGAAAAGCCATCACTGGGATGTTTCCCCAAAAGATTTGGGAGCTTTGTAATAGGGTTATTTATTTGAGCCAGGCTGAGCGAAGAGCAGCCTCCCAAAAGTTGTTGGACCAAACCTCCAGCTTCCTCTTCACTGGCTTGACTCAGTCGACCGGGCGGGAGTTGCCGTCCAGTCTCTAGAGGTCTACATTTTGTACGCCTTGGCCACGGCTCTCTGGGACGAATCCTCCACGTCAGCCTCCTGAACCCAACACAGGGTCCTTGGTAGTCCGGGAGGCCAAACGTCTGTGGCGGCGGAGACAGTGATGGATGGCTTCCTCCTGTTATAGGACCTGGTGATGCATCTTTGATTCTGCCTGTTCCCGGCAAGTACTGACATGGATCGGCTCCGTAAAGAAAGCCACAGGGCTGAGCAAGTCGCCTTAGACGACCTGTCACAACAGCATTTTTACATGCTTTCGAACGGCTAGGTTGGCAGGAGCTGGGACAAGCGACGGGAGCTCCCTCCGTCGCGTGGATTCGATCTTACGACGGCTGGTCTTCCGACCTTGCATCCCTTTGGGTTTCTTAAGACATGCTAAAATGCCTTCTCATTTCACACTTCGGGACATGTCGCCAACGTAACCGAGCAGGCGGTTTTTCTATTAGTCTATACAGTGCAGGCCCCCAAAGTGGGGCGATCCTATCATTTTTTTAAAAAAAAGTTTATTTCTTGATGGGCGCAGAGAAAGCTGCATGTGGTCAGAGCAGGGTTTATCCTCCCACCCACCCTCATGATTTCCCCCTCGATTGTCCACACACACACACACACACCACATTTCTGCATGCGCCATTTCTGTGCTGTCAGAGGGTGAAACCCGATCCATTAGTGAGAATCTCGAGGTATGTGGGGGAAGCTGGTTTTGCCGGGAGAGCGAAATCTGTCTTCGAGCTGTCAGGATGGTTTGTCAACCTTGATGGGTTAATCGAAGAATCAGACTTTTGCACAGAGGATTTGAGTTTAGAACGGAGCCTCCACGTTGGCTTTCAAAGCATGCATGCGCTAGGTAAACGCCAGACATGGTTTCCCCGCACACCCACAGCCCTTCACTCTGAACGGATTGCCACAATTAGCAGGGAACCTGGGTGGCATTCACAAAACCGTTCAAGCAAGCTCGCTTTTATTCTGGAGGTTCATGATTTATGTGAAGGATTTGCAGGTAATAATAATGATAATCTTAGAACAGCAGAGCTGGAAGTGACCCTGTGGACTGTCATGTCCGGTCCCTTGTCAAGGAACTCTCCAGCAGATGAAGACAGAAGAAACTGCAGACTGGATTTTATGAAAGTGTTGAGTTATCCACAAAAGCTCCCAAAATATAGCCATGAGTCTTCAAGTACCCTCAACAGTTTTGTCTTATTTTTGATTTTTTTTCTTTTGTTTTGGCTTGATAAGAGCCTCTTTCAGACTTTAAAGGAGCTGTCGCAAGGTTCTGCACACGCTTGAGACTAGGACTCAGTGTAGATTTGAAGAAGTTCGAACTAAAGTCCAGAACGGATTCCTCTCCTTGCCAAAACCAGTCCCCAGCTTCCACTGGGAACGGGAGAGACAGTGTTGTTTTATGGATTTCTCTCTCTCTCTCTCTCTCTGATGTGCTTTTATTTTTTTATCGTGTTTCAATATTCATGCCGTTCTACTGTGATTTGTCTTTTAACACTATAATTTTCGAGATGGTTCGTGGTGTTGTTGTTTTGATCCTATTGTGAGCTGCCTTGGTTTTCAACTGCAACGATAAAGGCTGGAGATCGGAGCAGAATCAGATAAATAGGCCACTTGACAGGGCAATTTTCTGTTCCCTTTTCGTTTGTTTGTTTAGCATCATTGCTGTTATTCAGCTTCTCTGCGCAGAAGTGAAGAAAGAAAAATCAGGGCTTTTGAGCCCTCCAGGATTGCCCCGTCAAACAGTTTCCCTCCTCATCGGATTCACAACGGCTGGTAAAATAGCTCTTGGCCCCCATTTCAGACTTTTATGGCGTCGGGTCAGGAGTGAAGAGACGTAAGAGGGGATATCCTTTCTCGTCCTCCGTTATTTGCGTAAATGAGATTTCTGGAGCGAAGTGCCATTTCATGGAAGTTGGTCGATCTTTCTGGGAACATACTGCACATAAAAAGGAGGCAGAAGTGAAAATGAAATTCCACCCGGGAAAAACAATGCTTTATTCTCTTCAGAAGCGAAATGGCACACAAGTATTACTTTTCTGACACGACACCACATTCAAGATGAAGATCCACTGTCTGACAGCGAAATTATTAGGAGAGGTGTCAGATAGCCACTTCAATATTCAACCTACGACAAGCCCAGAATTTGGGAAATGTTGCTTTTTATTAAAAAAGATTAAAACTTCTAGAATCATAGCATCGTAGAATGATGGAGTTGGAAGGGGGCCTCTAAGGCCATCAAGTCCAACCCCCTGCTCATGGCAGGAATCCCAATCCAAGGAGATCGGGCAGATGGTGGTCCAATTTTTCTCCTGAACATCTCCATCATTGGTGCACTCCCAAGGTTGATGGTTCTGTTGTTGTACTGCTCTAACAGTCCGAAAGCTTTTCCTGATATTCTGAAATCTGGCTTTCTGTGGCTTGAGCCCCTTATTCCCTGTCCTGCGCTCCGGGATGATGGAGAACCGATCCTGCTCCTCCTGTGTAGGAGGATACCTTTCAAGTATCTGAAAAGGGGCATCCTGTTATCTCACCTCCATCTTCTTTTTTCCTCCAGGCTAAAGCCTGCCCAGTTCTTTCAGCCTTTCCTCCTCGGGTTGGGTTTGGTTGATCAGCTGAAGAACGGCGTTCTGTCTTCAGGATTCTGACTGATATATTCCAAAAATGTAACTTTTCCAAACTCTGCACAGGTCCTACTCCTTTTTCTTAGAGGAAAGAAATACTTCATCTGGAGGCTTAGCCTCTTCCTGCTTCTGGAGGTCGTGTGACCCTGGAGAGACAATCTTTTTAACTCTGCTCAAGTTCACTTAACGTGACTTCCAAAATTTGCTTTGCTAGCTCAGACTGGACAAAGGCAGAGAAATAAATGGTTGAAAATTGCTCGCGTGAATTTTCTCGAGGCCTGTTAAAGGTTTCAGCAGCAAAGCCAAAATCAGTTTTAATGTTGTTATGACTTTTTTTTTTAAAAAAAATTCCATTCCTTTCAACTAATTTTTAAAATGTTACTTAGCTATTATTTTAGCCATCAAGAGCCGAGCAACGCTCTTGTGTCATTCCTCATTGCATTAATTTGTTGCAGCCATTTAAAAGCCTGATATTTTAAAGGAATCGGCTAATGAATTTAAACACTCTTAAAGTTCAAAATCAACTAATTAGATTCTCTTCATCTATTCACACCACTAACCATTCCAAGCCTTACCATGTCAACAAGCACTAAGCTGGCTGTCCTTCAGCCTGTTAATATGTTCCCTGGCCAAAGCAAACAAGATGTACATGATTCAAATCAGAATCCAAGAAGAAGCTAAGGTTGATAATGCTATGTCTTGATGCACAAACCTACGCTGAAATAAATCCATTAAAACATCACAGTATTTTGCTTTCTTCCCCCTTTTCTTCCTGCCTTCTTTTCTTCCTTCTGCCTCTTTATTCTTGTCTCCGCTCTGTTTATCTTTCGGATTATTGATTTGATTTGATTTGATATTATTTTTGTCCCCCTCTCTCCATCCTCTCCTGGAAAACACACACTTTCCGGTCGTGCAAGGTTTAGCCGGCGCCGCGCTTAAGAAGAGCAGCGGGAAGCTTTAAAAACTCAAAACCATTCCCCGCTGCTCTGGAGACCACATCTGCGGGGACATTTTTGTCAGAAGATCTTTGGGGCCGGGCCTCCTTGGTGGCCGACCCTACCCGAACCCAACCAGGAGAAGTCCCTCTTTCGGTAGCTCACGTCATCCAGCCTTTGCTTCAGTGCGCCTACACTCCCTGTGAAGCCTTTTCTCTCCTCCTCAGATTCCTCTC